CACGTGCATTGCTTATCTGACTGCATCAGCATTTTTTAATGCTATTTATGGTTTGTATGATTTGTGAAATGCTGATACGCTTTCACTAATTTTTTTTTATTTTCGATTATTTTTTGGCCTTTTGAGTTTTAATTATGAAATTTAATACCGCGTGTCTTGCCAAATAGCCTAATTGCTGGTTACTTGTTTTTTGCCATATTACGATAAATTTCGCTTTACTGCGCGATTTAAATTAATCAGATAAATTTCTCTCTGTTCTGCGCGAATTTTTTTTGGATTTTATAACGCACGTAGTTACCCCCCAAGCTTTCACTTCAGGTGATTGTCAGGGGCCTCGTGTGTTTTCCGCCTACACATCCGTCTGTGGAGAAGGCTGTCGAGCCAGGGCTCCATTCCGGGGTGTAGGACTACTGCCTTATGGGCGCTGGATTTCTGGATTTCTCTGCGTTTTGCTTTGCTTGGCTTAGCGCGACCATGGAGAGGCTCGTAGAAAGTTACAAATTACAAATACATGAGTTGGAACAACTCAAATTGGATAAAGGTGAACTCACAGAAATTGAAACAAAATTCTTAAATTTTTTGTTAAGCTCACTTGAAATTGTCAATGCACTCCTTACTCAAAGTAAAACTGACTCAGTTTTAAATCAAGATAAGACACAACCTCAAATTCCAACCACAAGTAAAAATTACGAAGAAAATGAGAGGGCACGTAGCCCAATTAGTATTCATGATAACGCAATTGTTTCTGATGATGAAAAAAACATTAGATAAAGATTCTAGCTCTGACGAAGACTATCCACAACGTTTTGGAGACAAAACAGTCCGTACAAGAAATCCCAGACAGGGTTTTAAAAAGATTAAATTAGATAATTTCACGCAAATCAATCATTTCACCAGTTATCACTCAGAAAGATAACAATGGTACGAATGTACCGCAGGAAAATTCAAAGAATACTAGTCAAGAATCAGTCATTCCTGAACAACACACTCTCTGATAACATTGAAATGGATACTTCTAATGCTGATGATCAGCAAAATTCCACAAATGATAACAACACACAGGTCAAAACACCTAAAAAGAACAAACTCCCTCCGATAATTCTCAAAGAAACCAAATTCAAATATAAAGCGTTAACAGGATTATTCCATCAACACAAATATAAATTCATCGGACAGAATATTAAGGATGGTGTTAAAATTATTACTTCTGATCCTGACAGTTATAAGGGAATTGTTAGGATCTTAAAAGAGATGAAAGTGGAGCATCATTCGTACATTTTGCCAGAGGATAAAAATCTCAAGGTAGTAATTAATGGACTACTTCTCACGACGACTGAAATTGAGGAAATTAAGGAAAGTTTAACTGAATTAAATTATCAAATAATTGAAATAAAGCAAATGTCACGACGTAGAGGCGGTGAAGTTCAGAAACTTCCACTTTTCCTTGTTACCCTACCTAAAAATGAAAACTCTAAACAAATATATCATGAACGCTATTTATGCGACCTCAGAGTCAAAATTGTTGAATACAGAGGCCGACAGGGACCATTGCAATGTTTTCGATGCCAGGGTTTTGGCCACACTCAGGCGGGTTGTAACTATGAACCGAAATGTGTCAGGTGTAGTAAAAATCATTATGTAAAAGACTGTCCGGACAAAAATAAGAAAGATGTTCCTTTAGTTTGTGTAAATTGCGGTGGCAACCACACATCTAGTTTCAAAGGATGTGAAAAATTTCCAAAAAATAAAACTGAAAAGCCTAAAACTTTTTCTGATAGAATAGTTGAAGGTAAATCTTTCGCAGCTGCTCTTTCGACTGGTATCTACACAGATACTATTACTGAGGCCAAAAAAGTTTTCACTGATCTCGCTGAACTGGTTTCAGCAATAAAATCCGCTGGTTTTTTTCCAGCTCACACAACAAGTTAAGGACTTGAACAGAAATCATCAAGAAAGCAATCAACCCAACAATACTGATAATGGGCCCGCACAGAATTAATAGAGCTCCTATCCAAATCATGATTTGGAATGCTCATAGCATCTTAAATAGAATCCAGGAATTTCATAATTTCTTACTAACCTATGATATTGATGTTGCTCTTGTCACCGAAACGTTTGCAACACCATGTATGAATATTAAGATCGCAAATTACAACTGTTACAGGTGTGACAGACTGAGTCACCGTGGTGGGGGGGGCCGCTATTTACGTTAAGCACTCCTTGCAATCATGCCTGATTAGCGAAGATAGAGGAAACGGCTACGAAGCTGTTACAGCTTCTGTTTTATTACCAAATTATGGCATAATTTATTTTCATTGCATTGTATAACCCTCCACACATTCCTATTGATGAGCATAAACTCGCACTGAATTGCTGCCTAATTCAGAACATATCATCTTAGCTGGCGATCTCAACGCGAAGAATGTAGAGTGGGGTTGCAGACGCACCAACAGAAATGGAGAACTTTTACTAGAATTTCATTAATAATTATCCTATTTATTTTTATGCTCCTACTGAATATTCCTATCTTCCTGATGACCCTCGAAAAGGAGACATCCTGGATGTTCTTCTTACCACCACTTCAATCCCGATTTATCTTGATGTGAAAGTTGAATTAACTTCAGATCATGTGCCGGTTTTAGCTACGCTTGGTACAAATAAAAACACTGACGAAAGGTTTAAAATCACTACGGACTGGAATAAATATTATAATTTCCTCTTTGAAAACCCTCCGGCTATTAAGCAACCTTAAAACAAAATTTGATATTGACTATGCAATTGATGTTCTCAATAATAGCATACTTAGTGCATATAACAGGGCTACTAAGAAAATTCCTGCTGATAAGTACAGTGCTAGATTGCCTAGTAACATTAGAAACCTGATTTCACAAAGAAACAAACTACGCAAAAGATGGCATATTGCCTGGGATCCTAGGATCAAAAAAGAGTTAAATAAACTCAACAGAGAAATAAAGAAAAGTATTTATAAACACAGAGATGAGTCTTGGAATGCAAAAATTGAAACATTCAATGAGCCGAATAATGCATTCTGGTCTTTTGCAAGGAATCTTCGAGGCAAAAAGGCCGAACAATAAACCAATTTACGGTGATAATATTATAGCCGTCACTAATAAGGACAAAGCCAATGTAATGGCTGACTTTTTAGAAAAACAATTTGTTCCTAACCAAGATCCAAGCGACCCTTTATTTTCATATGACACTAGATATTTTATTCAAGACTGGATTAATGGCCCGGGACCCAAAAACAAGACTAATTATACTTCACCTAATGAAGTTAAGGAATTATCAAAAGAATGAAAAATAGAAAAGCTCCCGGTTTTGATAACATCACTAACGTCGCCTATCAAAAACTTGCCTATTAATGTTATCACGAAATATGTCAGCATTTTAAATGCCTGTCTTGAGAGATAATTATTTCCCCGATAAATGGAAAAATGCTAAAGTAATTTTATTACCCAAGCCTGGTAAAAATGCTACCTCCCCGGAGGGTTACAGACCAATTAGCTTACTGCCCGGTCTGGGCAAAATCTACGAACGAGTTATCTATAAGAGAATCGAGCCATGGATAAGATACCTCCTGAACAGTTTGGCTTCCGTAAGAAATTTGTCTACGACCAAGCAGCTTGTCCGACTATGTGAATACATCGGTTCTGCACTTTTCAAACATCAGAGTGTCGCCTTACTCATGCTAGACGTGGCGAAAGCTTTCGACCGCGTCTGGCATGAGGGGCTTATTCTCAAGCTTATATCCTTGGATTTTGACAGAGATCTGATATTACTCATTTATTCTTTTATTAAAAACAGAAAATTCTTCGTCAATATTGGTAACGACAACTCTGATCCCAGAAGACTCAATGCTGGTGTAGCTCAAGGATCAATTTTGGGACCAATTCTTTTTATATTCTATGTTTGCTGATTTCCCTAAAATATGCACAGACCCAAATTTTTATTTAGGATGTTACGCCGATGATACGGCGCTTGCATATAAATCTCACAATCAAGAACTTGCCATTTCTAAATTGCAGGATAAAATTCCAGAAATTGAGCAATGGTGCACGAAATGGCGCATTAGCCATCAATGCACAAAAATCCCAGCTTATAATTATTGGAAAAAGGCACTCTAGAAGTCCCATTTTTGTAAAAAACTTAAAATCTTTAATGTTGAAGTTCCGCTTGTGAACAAAGCTACTTATCTTGGAGTTTGTTTTTAAACAATAAATTCACATGGAAAGACCACATCCAAAAAGTAAGAGGCAAAACAGTTGCGGCTATCAAAGATCTTATTCCATTAATCGGAAAAAATTCAAAACTTGACCTACGAAGAAAGAGGCATATTTATACTGCCATTATTCGGCCTATCTTTTCTTACGCGTCTCCAGCCTGGGCGACTTATTCGAAAAATGAATCAAGAAGTTGCAGATCACTCAAAACAAATTTTTAAGGCAAATCACGAATGCTCATTTTTATGTTTCCAATGAAACTCTGCACAGAGACTTAAAAATAGAGAATATCGAGAATTTTCCTCCATAATGCAAATCGGAAATTTTTTGATAAGGCGAGAAACTGCTCGTACATGAAATACTTTAAAGTTTTCGACTACACCGTGTTTCCAGAAGATATTCAAAATCAGACCATTAGCGGCCTTCCTTCACCAGGGACACTAATTTTCCTACTTAAATCAGTCTTTTCATGCAACTTCATCTTTTTTGTATATATTGTACATAAACTTTCGTATTGCAACTCGTATTCTTTTGTATTTTGTATTGTATTATGCTCACTTATTGTATTTATTTTATGTAATAAATTGTATTTATTTGCTAATATATCATGTTTTTTTCGTAACATACCTATCAGGAACAACTTTAACCTCTGACACTTCCACACCTTGCTGCCTCTCCTGGTCTTGGGCTTTAAGTTCGATTCTCTGCTTGTGGCGTCATGTAGTCACCCCCTCTTTTTTCATTTCCTATTGCCTCCTATCACTCGGTCCAGACACTTTTATGTCATGTGCCCCTCGGGCATACTTGTCATGAGCCGGACACGTTGCATCAAATGCAATATTTCGGCATAAATTGTAATGAATGAATGAATGAAGGTACTAAGATAATCATATTCGGCCAAACGTTCAAAGTGGGCCAAAGCGGCAGATCTGGGACATTGTAAGTTCCAAGGTCCTTACAGTTCATTTTACTAACCTTGGTAAGTTGCACAAAACACACCCCAGGGCTTATCACCAGAAACGATTCGATAATGAAGAGAGTGCGAGAAATTCAGACTTCAAATCATAGGCTCCGCAGTGGATGGCGTTGGGCCAATACCTGTTTATATATTTTAGCCATCAGGTGTGCCCGTCTTTCTTTACTTGTCACTTGCATACTTATCGCTTGTTCTAAATTTAACTTTAAATTAATAATTGAAAGTTAATTTAACCATACAACGACATTACGCAGAAAAGAGCGGAAAGAAGGAAAATAAGATGGAGATAAACTTTAAACCTTGAATTGAAAAGCAAATGCAAATTAGCTAAACCAAGTACAAAAAAAAATTATACAAAATGTAATAGATTTAAGTGTTATTTTACTGTTTCCTTCTCTTCTAGCATGCGCGCAGAATGAAAAGAATTGTACAAGCTCCTTTTGTAGGTTAGTTCTTAGTTCATGCAAGAAAATATTTTCCTCTCTACCTTTTAGATACTTTATACATAACAGTAAAAAGTATATTACTTCCTTTGGGAGAGGAGCAGAGGGCAACAAAACAACTTTTTCGGTAAGCGAAAAGACTTTTTGCTTATCTCTAAATGCCATGCAGGTATCCTGAGGCGGAGAAGGGGCAATTACGAACAAATAGAACTTGTAGAGAAATGCGCGATTCCTGTTTTCAATTTATAATGCTCCAATCAGAAGCTACTTCATGAACTGAAAATACTCCATAGAATATACGTGATCCTATTTCTTCACATTTTCGTGATCAGATTTTGCATTCTTGTTTCATTCTTAGCCTTTATATTTTGGATACTGTATTATTATTACTTTGCTTCTATACTTCCAAAATGGGTAGGCGTATAGGTGAAAGTAGTCGTCGGAGAGTTCATCCACTGCATTCATTAGCTTCAAAAACTCAAAGACTGCGCCGTCTGAAAGAAAGAACAGCGTCTCAGTCACCGATGAATATAGATCTTATAGAACAGTATGTTTTATGTACCCTTTTCCTCTTTTTTAAATAGAAGGTTTTTTTAATGCATCTCTTTAACATTTATTAATTATTGATGATTGTTGGCGTATTTGTCATGTACTGATTTTTAACGTTAACAGAGACGAAACTAAAGCAACATTTTTCAATATTAGCTCTTTATAGCAGTTCCACTTTTGTGCCAAAAAAATTTGTTATTTGAAATTTTAAAATATAATCAGTGAATAATGCATTCATCTTATTACTTAAGTGAATTAAATTCCACAGATGTACATACAGATAGCCAACAGTATTCACCAGTGGCGTAGCTAGGGTGGGGCAAGAGGGGACATCTGTCCCCGGGCGCAGCATCCAGGGGGCTCCAAATTGATGCTACGAAAATTTTTAATGGTATGTTTTCCATTCTTGGCACACAGAAAGGGGCGCAAATTCTTCAGTTGTTCCCGGGCGCTGAAAACCCTAGCTACGCCACTGGTATTCACGATTCGTTTATAAATAAATATATCCGTATGAGGTTAACCTGAAAATTATAGTGTTTGGATATAACAGCTTCAATCCTGATTAAACTTAGGTAACAAAGGGTATTCGAGAGGCTACTCGAAACTCTATTTTCTAAAAGATTTATCATGCTTATCATCACGTAAAATGTGTTTTCAAAGTTATAAAAGTTTCTGAAAATAAGATAGATAATTTTATAAGAAATATTTAAAAAATAATATTATTAGGTGGCTCTGGCTAAATAATATTCTCAATTAAAAGACAAATTTTTCGTATTCAAGCAAATACAAAAAAATAGAAATTTTTTGCAGAATTCGCAGAGGTATTTAATATTTTAATGGGAGACAGTCACAAATTCGTGGGTGTGTGTAATTATGGCAAAGCCTCGAGGGCTATCTGCCTAACGGGAGGGATGCCTTCGTGGAGGACTTTCTAAGGGAAACTGGCTCGTATACACGTTACACATGGAGGAAACCACGAAAACCCTCATGCAGCCAGCCCGTTCGCGGGACTCGAACCGAACTACCAGTGTTCAGCGACTTTACCGCTCGGCCACTGGTGGCTCAAACGTTGGGAGTTGAAATTGTTTTACTGCAGGACGTCAAAACACTAAATTCTATTTTGTAATTACAATTTGAAAATCTCGATTGGTAGGCTTTGAAATGTAATCTGAATTATTAAATTTGTATGCAAATACTATATCTTTGAATTTCATAGATTGGGCAAATACAGTATCTTAGGATACTCTGAGCTTATATTTGATATAAGCTCATATTTGATGTAGGCTTTAAAAAACCTTTATCGATTTCGGAAAGGCGTACAGGTACAGGTCCTTCTTTGTTCCTAATGAAAAGGGAACTGTACCTGGTTGCCCTCAAAATCAGTCGAGATTTAATTAAAATATAAGGTATTTTCTCCCTTCTCTCAGCATGCCTTCGTGGTATAAAGGTAGCATACTCGGCGCGTATTCGAGATGTCTTGTGTTCGAGTCCCGGCAAAGGCACTGCTCATTTTTCATGCCTCCTGCTTCCAAAAATAACCGAATATCTCTACACTGGCGGCCGAACTAAAAAGGGTAGTGAATGATGATTCTTCGCCCCAGAAAGGGAGATTATATAAGATATTTTCTCCCTTACCTCGGCATGCCTTCGTAGTGTAACGATAGCATTCTTGGCGAGTATTCGATAGATCTCGGGTTCGAGTCCCGGTGAGGGGACTCCTAATTTTCCATGCCTTATCAGGACTTAGTAGAAAGGGCTAGCTCATAGAGCTTTTCCCCTTGAAACAGGAAGTGAGAAGCGATACATAGTCACGGTGACATTGTCGGCGGAGATGCAATTCACAACATAGGAATTACATTTTTAATTTTAAGCACCAGTCAGTGCTGTAGCTAGGGTTTCCAGCGTCCGGGGACAACTGAAGATTTTGCGCCCCCCTCCTCTTTGTCAACAGTGGAAACATTTCATTATAAAATTCCTTAACATCAATTTGGCACCCCCTGGGCGCTGCGCCCGGGGACAGATGTCCCCCCTAGCTACGCCCGTGGCACCAGTACTTAAAATGAACTTATGTAAAAAATAGTTATACTTTGGAAGAGATGATGTTATTGCTGTATGCATTTTACACTGAACATTAAAAAAGTTAATAATATTTACTCATTTAAAAAATAATATGTAAAATAGGTTCGCTGTTGTAAAGTTTTCGTGTAAATACGATGGAATATTCCAAAATGTTTCATATATATATTATTTTTCTTTGTCAAAATTCTGGCTGTTAAACTATATATAAATGAGTATTATATATAGATGCGCATTTTCATACTGGCTACCTTTCAGTAAAAGAAAATAAAATATTTTATGTATTGCACCCTAATATTTCTTGTGACCAAAATAGTTTTTCAATTGATAGGTCTTTACTAGTTTAATACCGAATATTTCAGTACAAAATTATTCACTGAAGGATGAGTAATAGAAATTTGTATAATTTAAATGTAATTTATATAACTTAACCCCCAAATTATCTTTCTTGATTATCTTTTAATAAACCTGAATGATGAACTAGATTATTTGCTTTCATTAGAAAAGTTTTTATGTTTATTAGATTATTAGAAAAGTTTTGGTTTAAACAGAATGCGAAAACGTAGATTTTAACAGTATGTTTATATTATGTATAGTTAACGCTTTTATAAAGAATGATAAATAATTTAAGTGCGTTTTACAAGCATTTGTAATTGCTCCTCATCTTTTGTATAGTCTTTTTAGTGCTAGCTGTCGTGTTAAAATTTGTCAATGTCCTTTTCCTCGCTCAGTTTTTCTTTATGAAATCAAGAGGCTCTTATGTTCAAAATATTACTCTAATAAATTTCCCTAAACCCCATTGAAATCATAAAATTATAATCTGCAGCTTTGCACTGTATATATTTTTAGCTATATTCCAATTTTGATATCAATGCTCAGTTTTAAGAACATTTATAATCTTTTTCATATTGTTTGTTGTCACTAATTTAATTTCGATTTTCTTATCTACCAAAATGTACTCTTTTTGTCAATTTTTTTTTTCTTAAAACTTTAGATCCATACAATCTATTTGGTAGTCATTGTATTTTTAATTTCCTTTGAGTGTTTTCATGAGCTAGCTGAAGTTCAGCTGAAGGCTTTGCGTAGGCTTACTGAGCCTGTGATTTCACCTTTCTACGATACGCAGATACTCGTATGTGTAAAAGCATTCATTCAGCTGATATCGCATACAGCTTTTTTATCGCACTGAAATAATCCAAAATAGAGGCTGAAAATAAGTTCACGAACTTTAGTTCCTTTGGTGATAAAAGTGCTCAGAACATTACTTAAGAAGTAGGTACTTAGCAGCTAAGAGGAACTGAAATGGATAGATCGTGAAAATTATTTGGTACGACATCGAATGTCAAGAGAAATACTCTGAATTAGCCCTTCTATAATACTCTTTGTTCTATAGCTTTTATTGTAATTTCACATTTCCAAGGGAACATTTTTTTACTCTAGCATTGACTAAATCAACGAATTATCTTAATTTTTGCTGAGTAATTTTATCTTCTTAATCATAATTTATCGACAAGTTGTTGAGGATTCCTTGGAACATTTTTAGGGAATCTGGCTCATATTCCCGTCACACATTGCAGAAACCCCAAGAAATTCTACGCAGCCAGCTCGTTCTCCTGGAAGCGATCACCAGTTTATAAAACAGAATTTTTTTTCTTAATATGTATTTTCTTAATATGTATAATATAAAGTACATATAACAGTTTAATTGCCTTTGTTATAAATACGTTATATCAATAGAAAACGAAAAAGCTGAAAAAATGATTTTGAAGTTTAACTTTATTGCATTCAGATTAGATCTAACTGAATACATATACGCATTTTTTATGAGCATACATATATAGCTATATGTAACATCGAAATCGCATTTCTTTCCCATTTTCTTTTTTAATCTTTTATTTACTATTTTGCTTGTGTGTAATACACTGCTCGACATTGAAAATGCAACACCAAGAAGGAGTGGTCAGAAAGTGATGAAATTTGGAAAAAAGACAGAGACAGCAAGCAGCCATAAGTGATCTTTATTTCAAAATGATAGTCAGAATACAGAGCGAGAACGGCGTCGGCTCAATAGGTTAGATCACCACTGTAGGGGCTTCTGACCTAAGGTTATACCTATCAGAATAATGCCCATACAGCGGAAACAGAATTCCATTACGCAAGCCAGGGAACGCAGCGAGCAATCCGGGGACATTTATTTAAAAAAATCTTAAAGTGTTACCGAGTCACAATTTTGTATACATAAACGTCTTTGCACTTTCATGCTGCAATGTGCTTTCAGAAGAGACTGAACATAATTGCATAAAGTAATGTAGGACCGCCGCGGACAGCGATGCACGAAGAAACACGTCTAGGCATACAGTCAATAAGAGGAATGGTGTTCTGAGGGATGGCTCTCCATTCCCTTTCAACTATTTACCACAGTTCGTCTTCTGACCGAGGCAGGGTCAGAGTCTGCAAACGGCGTCCAATCACATCCCACACATGTTCGATTGGTGACAGGTCAGGAGAGTACGGTGGCCAGGGAAGCATCTGTATACCTTGCACAGCATGTTGGCTGATGCGAGCACTGTGTGGTCGGGCGTTATGCTGCTGAAAAATTGCATTAGGCAGACCCTGAAGGTAAGGGATTGCCACCGGCCGCAGTATATTATCCAAGTATCATTGGGCCGTCATAGTGCCCTGAATACGAACTAGAGGTGACCTGTAATCGTAGGCAATAGCGCCCCAAACCATTATGCCACGTTGTCGAGCGGTGGGGCGTTTCACAGTTACTGCCGGATGAGATCTGTCTCCACGTCGACGCCACACACGTATGCGGCGACTGTCATTGGATAAACAGAAGCGTGACTCATCTAAGAACACGACGTTTCGCCATTCTGTCATCCACATCCGCTCCAGTCCGGCACCATTCTAAACATGAAGATTCTAAACATGAATAATGAAAGTAGATTTAGAAGATTCGGCCAGATATTGATGGAAAACTCTAAATAATCTTTCAACAGAAGCGTGACATATACGGAAGAAAAATATAGTACTATTTTCAAGAGATGTTCATCCATACAAATTTAAAAGAACGCAGAAATGATAATCAAAACATGGTCGATTAATTCATACAGTGTATTTTATTTTCACACTTTGTTATGCACCTGTCAAACCTCCTCAGAATAACAGTTTCAAAGAAAGACAAAACATATTAATACATAAATAGAAATAGTTTGATGCATCTGAAAAGTTTCCTACAGAATAATGAACTTAAAAATAAACAAAGTGAAAATACTCTCAGTTTTCTAACAAACACATATATGAAATCAATGTACTGTATCTGCTTTTGGATGCAGTATGCACTTAAAGTTTTGAACAATAAAAAATAAATAACAGTGACATAGTGACATAGTGACAATGTTAGTATCCTTTCCAGAAACTGAAAGCCAAGATTTACAAAAACAATACTGTACAATTTCGGAAGTATTTTTTAAAATATTATTTAAAAGATGGTATTGAAATATATGATGAAATATGTGGTTCTAAAGGTGCCTGCAACAACATGTAACTTAAAAAGCTCAAAACCATTATTAACTAATCTAATTGTTTAATATTTTCTAATTTATCGCACTGTTTAAAATATTTTAACTTGATTTTCGTTTTAGGGGTATTTTGCTGCTATGCAACCAACCACGCTTTTTGGTACTAGCGTGGCGGGGCATCACCTGTGATGCAGTATGCGTGTGTTTTTGCCATCTAATACGCTATTCTTATGATTAATAATTATTTCAATAAAAAAGCCGCAAAAATACCTGGCATGTGCATAATGGAAAAGTAAAGAGTTTTGTTTAAAATTTTTTGTTGATGCTGGAATCGGAGAATGATAGCTTCAAAACCAAGCTTTAATAAAAAATTGCCGTATAGTTATGACTTGTCACAAAAAAATCGCCATATGTGTTGAATCAAATATTTTAAAGAGTCCCATAAAAGTTAATAGATTTTTTTTCAATTATAATTTTCCTTGCTTCATCTACCATTAATCTCTTGTAATATATTTTAAAAAATGAGAGAGACACTTAAAATCTTCTCAAAAGTGCCATTTTATTTATTCACAGGCCGGTTCCGAAACCTGAAGCATTGATCTTGCGTATATTTCATGACTAGCTTTAGTATATAAATTCGATTTAATATCGATTGGATTTAGTTTCGTCAGCTGTATTTGCTCCGTGAAAATTTGGGCTAAATAGCTAAATAGAAGCACGTTATTTAATATATTAATTTCTTCATAATCCATTTTCTTTCATTTTCACATTGCTTCTTCATTTTATTTTTAACATAAAGGAAGTTTGTGATTTTTTTTTTACTTCTTTATTGAATGGTTTTTTGATGCTTAATTCAGCTTTTGAATCTCAATGCAAAAGTATTCGGTTTACAATGTTACATAGTTTAGAAAATGACGCATAAAGATAATAACAGCAGAAAAAGAGAGATATTCGACTTCTCTAAGATGAAACCTTGATCCAGAATGATTTAAATATAATTTAGTTTTATCTCTATTTGCTGCTATAAGTTTTGGCCAAGTTTGAAATCATCATTTATTAAAGTCTTGTATAAGTGTCCTGCGTCATTAGTTTTATATGAGAATTATATGACTGCAATTAATTTTGAAATGACGCAGTTCAGAACGATTTATTTTAAGTAATTACAATTTTATGTTAAAAGATTAAATTGCAAATGCTAATAGGTATGTGTGCAAAATTTCGAGAAGAAACAGTAGAAGTGGTCAAGCATTAATTTCAACATTTACAGCAGCAACCAGATAGAGAAACCAGTATAATTAAAACTACGTTAAGTTACTAAACTCTTAATTAATTTTAAAGTTTCTTCTATTAAAAAATTATTCCTCTAATTTTTTAAAACTATGTAATTATCTAGTTGTTTCTTTTGGGAAATCTAATTGCAGCTCTTCTTATCTAGCTTCTTTTGTCGTTGTTAAATTTGCCTACGCCTCGCATTAGGTAACTGACTGAAAATATTTGGAACACTGAAATGTTAAAACTGATACATCAAGTAATTGGAAAATTTCATGCCTGTTAGGATTTTCTGAAAGTTATTAGCAATAATAAAGCCGGAGATGTTTTTTTTTTAAGTTGTTAATTTTGCTTTTATTATTCAGTTATCATTAACATATCTGAATTTATTTTTCTCTCCCATAGATCTTCAAATCTAAAGCCAGTGGACACACTGCAGGTTAATGAGGACAGCAGAAATGATCTTCAATCAGTTGATGATATTGTAGTTCAAAGTGTAAGTTCTAAATCTGAATCACATCAGGATCAAATAACGGAGGAAATTTTACCACCTTTGCTCACTGAATTTCATGAAGAACGTAAAGTCAGGACTTGCCATCAGCGCTTTATCTGTAATATAGCTCTTGTCATAAATCAAGCCAGAAAGGTAGAAGAGCACACATATAGTTGCAAATTGGTGGGAAATATGTATTCTCGAGCGTTAAATATACTGGACTTGCTGCATCATTTAAATATGTTTGCAGCAGTCTGTTGTGCCCAGACGTACTATTATTGAATCTGACACAGAACCAAATGCGCTGAATACTTAGCTGTTTTAGGGGCTTTAACAACGGGCTGTGGGTTTTCTCAAGAAGAGAAGAAAAATTTAGTATTATGAATATCATATATGTCGCAGTACATGTTTTCCTCTTGCGAGAAAATCACCGGTAAAATCATTGAAGCTTATGCGAAGGACTCAATGTATAGTGCTGTGGCAGAAGAAAAGAAAAGGCAGAGGAACGTGGAGACAAAGATAATGATAATTTTTATTGTATAACGGCTATAACCGACGGTGGATGGTGCAAGAGAAGTTATGGGCACGGATATAATGCTTCAGCAGGAATATCAGTTATTATAGGTATGGCCACTCCAAAATATTATTTATCGGTGTTAGAAAATAAAGTGTGTCTTATCTGTAATTCAATCGAACAGGGAAAATAAAAGCAAAAGAGCACTTTGTTGAAGAACTGGACGGTCCTTCGACTGGAATGGAAAAGTGATACGATAGTAGAAGGCTTGCAGTACTTAGAGGAAGTACAAATATTCGATGTACTCGTTTTAGTGGGTGATGGTGATGCCAATACCATGATGAAAGTGAGAGAGAAAGTATCATATGGAGGCCGCGTTTTAAAGGTCGAATGCGCAAATCATGCTGTACGAAGATACGGACGAGCACTCGAGAAACTGATACGTAGCAGCATCAGGTTTTCAGGGGCAAATGGCATTAAAGCCGAAAAATTCTCAAGAGCCGTATGTCAAGATTAATACGAGGTGCAAGGGCAGCTATAAAATCATGCAATTTCGAACCATAAGGAACCAACTCAAGAGATAGTAGACGCATTAGTACAGGAGTTACAAAATTCACCAAACCACGTCTTCGGAAAACACGATGCTGTGGGTCTTCTGCAACGAAAGTTTGCTGACCCTGATGAATCTGTTTTTTGAGACATGGAGTCTTCGGGTATGCTGCAAGCAATAGAAGTAGAAATTGGACGTGTTTTAGTAGCATGTTCTAACACACTAATCTGGAATGCAACAAATAACCCTGCAGAAAATTTTATGAGCCAGTTGTGCAAGACTTCGGGAGGCAAAAGAATCGATTTTGCAAAAGCAGGAAGCATAAATAGAAGAGCAAACATAGCTCTTATGGCCTTTCAAAGTCCTGCACAACAATGGCAGAGTCGTATTTATAAGGCAGTATCGAGCAGAAGTCCTCAAACGCCTTTACACAGATTTTTAAATTCCCGAAAAAAAACGACATTTTGAAAGAATGAAAAGGCGCAGATTATTTGATCTTGAAAAAAAGAAAAGAGTTCAGAGGAGACTTTTTCACCTTAAAAGTGGAGGAGATAATCAATATGGTATTTCTGCTGAGAAACCAGACATATCTACAGAAGCACTAAATATTCTTAAAAAGAACTACATGTCGTCTATTCAAGTTCTGCGTAAAGACGAATTAGAATTAGGAACTAGAGGGCAAATCCTATCAGAAAAGTGGAGACAGGAAAGATCCAAAAGAATATCTTCTTCTTATTTCAAAGAAATTGTAACCAGACGACATACAACGCGAACTGCCAACCTAGTGAAAAGAATTGTGTATGAAAACACGACAGCATGCGAGGCAATGCAATATGGTTTAGCTAATGAAGCTAAAGTTCTGGCGCAATATGAACATGACAAACAATTATATGTTCATAGATGCGGATTATTTATAGATCCCGCAAACCCTTTCCTGTGCACTTCCCCTGATGGTCTTATTGGAGACATCGGATTAGTGGAGGTAAAATGCCCGTACTCAGCTAGAGATTCCACTAATCTTAAGGAATTCTTTAAACAGAACAAACAGCAGGGATTAAAATGGAATGCAAATGGTTCATTTTACCTTCCAGATACTCACAAATATTACTTTCAAATTCAAGGTCAGTTGAATATTACTAACCGAAGTTGGTGCGATCTTTTTTATTGGTGCCAAGGAGACACATTAACTGTTAGAATAGAGAAAAACGAGAAATTTTGAAAAAATATTCTTCCCAAACTCAATTCATTTTTCTTTGACTGTGCGTGTTACCCGAAAAATTTAGATCCCCGGGCTACAAGGAATATGACACTTAGGGAACCATATTATATAATAGGAAAAGTAAATAGTTTAAAAAAGGACTGAAATCGAGAAAGCTAAATACAGAAAAAACTGAAACTAAACTCAAAACATAAGAAGACTAAGAACAGAAGAGTTGTCTCTACAGATGCATCTGAAAGTCAAACCAATACATCCCAATCTAAACGAATTAGAAAACCCAAAATTATATTTGATTTATAAAAAAAATTAGAAATTAAAAAAAAATAATGCTGTGAAAATACTTCAACTAAGCTCTCATGCTGGGAATGAACGATTTTTGTTCTCTGAAACTGTTTTTTCCGCTTTAGTCGCAGACAGCATCTAGACATTAGTGTATATATGTATATTTATATAGAATATATAGATATATATATATATAGATATATAGATTAGTGTATATATTATATATGTATATTTTGCATTTATATGTTATATATTTATTTTTTATGTATTTATAGTTTCAATTTCAGAGATACCAAAGGATGCTCTTTCTTTCGCTGTACGTATTTACTGTGGAAAAAGGCCATTGTAAAATTTCAGTTTTAAATTTATTCATTAAAACTACTGCAAAAAAATTCTCTTTTACATTAGCATATCTCTTTACAAATAATTTTACAAAGAAAAGATATGCAAAGAAATTAACTCGATTTCTATGATTGATACCTTGGTGTAACTTTTTCCAAAAAACATAGAATTTATATTCCTATCAATAAATTATGAATTATTTCTCTGTGTAATCTGATTAACATGTTAATACCAGAATTTCCCTACCCGTACGTCAATTTTTAGTAGAATGTTCATATTTTAACGAACTTCGAGTGTTTCAAAGGCTGTAACTTGTCTCTTGACCGTGAAAACGGGAACGAGGCCAGCATGAATTTGTTTCACTACCTGAAAGGAGATAGGTCTTTTTCGCATAATTTGATTTTATTTTGATGTTTCATCTTATATTTTAATGCCTTGTGTTTTAATATATCTCATATTTTATGATTTTAGTTCCGTTTACATCTAATATCATTACCTCAGAACAAGAATATAAAATTTGAAAACTCCTATTTGATGAAATATTGTACTGTCACCACGGAATCAGATCCTGCTAAGCGAGTCAAATAGCAAAGCAAGTCAAAAATTTATTTCAAAATTTTACTGAGTCAAAAAATTAGAAAAAAAAACAGAATAACATCTTGTAAATGTATGAAAAGTATAAATCTGTCTCTGCTATTTAATTTTCAGTTTTTAATTACAGAACAGATGGATAATTTAATACAGCTCAATAAATATTGATATATATTTTTGTATTTCTTTGGGTAGTTAAAATGAAAAAAGAGAGTTTACAATAGAAAGATACTATATATAACGACTGAATATTTAATTACTGAAAATAGCTGATTGGTTTGGTTTGGTTTTATTTAATTATGGTACTGCACTCAAGGGAAATCTGCCTCAGGGAAGGGATGCCTGCGTGGAAGACTTTCTAAGGGAAACTGGCTCTTATACACGTTACACTTGAGCAAAACCACGAAAACGCCCATGCAGCCAACCCTTTCAAGAGATTTGAACCTCAGATCAAACTACCAGTGTTCAGCGCTAGTGGGCCAATAGTCGATTGATTGAGGGAAAATCGATAAAATTTGTTAAGAGAAAAACTGGGAATAAATTATATGTGGAAGTTTATTTTCAAACTGCCTAAAGATGAAAAGGTTAAAATTCTGAGATAAAACAAATTTAAGGCAGAATTTATACATAAATCCGCAAAAATTGCGTCGAACTGAAATAATAACAGTATACTTATAGCATTTCGAATTCTTTGACATAATGTACTATTTTTCCCATGTAATGATGTGGTATTTTCCGATATTAGCTTCTCTCTCTTAGAAGGTGCTCAGCAATGCTATTCCTGCATTGAGAAAATAGCCCTTATGTGGTTTGCTTTGTTCAGTAAAAAAAAAAAAAAATTTCAATTTTTTTCCTTTTGACACAGGAAGTTTGAAGTTTTTGATTTGACACAGGATTAAAAATCAACTGCTGTTTAGGAAAAATGTTACTTTCGAAAGTGCTCCCTTTCGAAATGCCGTATGGTTTTTAGCCATCAGTTTTATTAGTATTAAAAAATTACATTCTAATAATTTCATTGAGCAGAATATTTTGCATGGTACTTACGAACGATTAGAAAAGAATAAGAAATTTGTGAAACAGACGATATCATACTTTACTCTCTTTTTTGCTAGTTTTCAGGTTAGGTTACACACATAAGGAAAAACACACGCAAGAGTTATCTGTCTACTTGGAGTGTGTGGGATTATGGCAAAGCCTTCAGGACTATCTGCTTTAAGAGGAGGGATGCTTTCGTGGAGGATTTTCTAAGGGAAACTGGCTCATATACACGTTACCCCCACATGGGGAAAACCGCAAAACCCCATGCAGCCAGCCCGTTCTCGGGATTCGAACCTCGGACCGAACTACCAGTGTTCAGCGACTTTAAAGCTCGGCCCGCTGGTGAGCCCTGCTTAGTAGGAGAGATGTCCATGTGGAGGACTTTCTAAAGGAAAATGGCTCGGAATTCTGCACTGGCTGCACGGAAGATAAAAATATTCTTAATTCATTTTTTAAAGATGATTTAAATTTGTTTCACGAGTTAAATGGTCACTGAATTTAATAAAAACTAGTTTTCAATCATCAAACTAGCTTTAATCAAACATCATCAGATGTTTATGGGTGTATGTGATTATGGCAAAGCCTTGAGGGCTATCTGCCTAAGGGATGGTATGCTTTCGTGGAGGGCTTTTTAAGGGAAACTGGATCGTGTACACGTTACACACCGGGGAAAACCACGAAAACATTCATGCAGTTAGCACGTTAGCGAGATTCAAACATCGGACTGTACTACCAATGTTCAGCGATTTTACCGCTCATTCGCTGATGGGTTCATCAAATGTTTAATTTTGCATTTAAGAAATAGTTCTGTATTATCAGCATAGTGTTCTGTAATAGGTAGTTTTGAAATCAAATATAATAATAATGATATTTTAAAAGGATGGAGTTAAAATTTTTCTCCAGAAATAAAGGAAGATTTTTTAAATTTATTTTCCTCTGTCATTTTTACATTCTTTAATGTCATTTGATTATACCGAGAGGAGTGAGAAGTTCAAAGGCTGCCCAGGCAAACAAACTCAGAACCAGCCCCGGGCGATGAATGTTCTAGTTATGTCATTGCTCAGATATGACATATATATCATCTTCAATCTCTGATTTTTCATTTAAATTGAATAAATTTACAGAATAGAATATAGATTTTCTAAGACAATCTTCTACAATTCCAAAAGATTTCGTTTTCTATGAAGACGATAGCCTAAAAAGAAATGATATTCAATACCAATGTTTCATGTATATTTTTAGAAAGACTGGTCATTTTCAGAAATGGTTTTTTTAAAGTAATAAACAAAAACAAAAGGTTTAGTAACAAAAAGTTTGAGTAATACGATTCAGCTACATTTTTATTTTACCTCTCTTACTACTTTTAATTTGGTAAAATTTTATAATATTCGATGCTTAATTAACAAATCAAAATTCCTAAATAAGACAAAAATTAGAATATTACCAGTACAACACATTTGCTTTCTAAAGGGACCTCCTCCCCCCCCCCAAAAAAAAGAAAAAAAAAAAAAGCTTTGATAATTAATAATTGTTATCCTGGAGTTTTTAATCCTATGGAAAAGCGAAGTATTGCAAATGAAAGTTATTAAATTTACAGAAGGCAATGAAGAGCAGAAGGTATTAATTAATTCATTATAGCGCTTAACATTACACAAGTAGTAATATTTTCTGTGACTATCCCCGAAATTATTTTCTTTCTACTTTGAAAAAAGCCTATAGACCGGTATTCGTAGGTTCAAGTTCCGCTATTTTTGCTGGAATATCACACTATTTGTGCGACGTTGTCCAGCCAAAGAACATCCATACATATTCTTTGGCCCAGCTCAGTTGATGTAGTGCCCTGGGGCGCATGACTAACAGTGTTTTCTGGAAGTGGTTCTCCAAGGAGAGAGGCAATGATGGGTAAATGAGAGGACAGGCCTGGGAAGTAGTATTCATTGCTTCAGGCGTTGCGTTATTTAAATCTTATGCGGTGTTGCTATGGTTACCCGAGTCATTAGCTTCAACTCTCTTTGGCAAAAAATTCCAAGCACCTGGCCCCAGCCAAAGAATATGTATTGTGTACGTGGATATTCTTTGCCCAAGCTCTTGTGATGTCATGCAGGGACGAACCGAATTTCCGGCGGCATTTTTGCGTGCGAAAAACGTGAGCCGAGGCCATTTTACAGCTGAAACGGGCGAAACAATGGACCACGATAGAATAATTTGCCATATTTTTGAAAAAAAAAAATAAATAAAAATAAAAATCAGCTTCAGAAACGTATTATTCATATATATGGTATTATAAAAAAAAAGGTGTAATTCGAAATAGTATCGGAATTAAACATCCATAAAAATCACTCTTGCAATGACACAATCATTTATAAACTTAAAAAAAAAAAAAATCTCTCTTGTAATGAGAAATGCATAATTGCATGTAGAATATGTTGTTTCTTTGCATATAATTGTACTTGTTTCGATTACACAGTTTCCAATAGCATGTGCAGACATACATGCTGCTGTCATCTCAGAAAATCAGCAGTGTAATTACACTGACACATTTTAATACTTCTGCAACAAGTATTCCATTAGAAGTAAATAATCAGTTTCTTTCGATAAAGTGATTGATGAGTACAACTCAATATATATTCAATCAACAGTATATTCAAAATTAAATTCTGCACATGTTAATAGTATGTCAGCTCAAAAAATGATGGAACACCTAAATGCCATTGAATATTTATTGCAGATTGGCCAACTCCCAAATA